GGCACCGCCCTCCCCTCTGGGTGGCCCAGCCGGTGGTGTGGTGGGGAAGGAGGCTGGGCCCATATGGCTGACTGTGCCGTTCAAGTCCCAGACCCTGTGGCTTGAAAAACATGCTAGGCGCTTGTGCATGTGTGGCCGAAGTCCCAGAGGAGAATGGAGACGGGGTTGCAGTGTGGCCCTCCTCCCTGGGGCTTTCTCGGTGTCTCTCCGTTGAGTAATGTGCCCTATAGCAAATTAAAAAAGAGGCCTCCACTGTGGTCTGTGGGTGTCATGAGTGGTGGGTGCATAGACACCCCCAGACAGGCAGCCTGTGTGGGCCAGGTCCGGCCGTGGTCTCCTTGGTGGGCTCGTGAGGTGGCCGGCAGAGCAGGCCGAGGGTGTCCACGTGTGATCCCATGAAGCTGCTTGATGAAACACGGGCACAGAAGACCTCGGTTTCTCTGCATTACTGTCACATGTGACACATGGTTGTAAATCCGTGTCAGCTGAACTACGAGATCTGTCACCCGTGTTGGCGACAGCTGAAAGCCGTTGGAAATTACTGTCACATGTGACACGTGGTTGTAAGTCCGTGTCAGCTGAAGCACGAGATCTGTCACCCGTGTTGGCGGCAGCTGAAAGCCGTTGGAAAGCCATGGCTTGTTTGCCAGGAATGTGGTCAGCACCGTTTAGGGCTGCTGTGTGTCTGCAGGGTTTGATCCTGCGCAAGGCGGGAGGGAAGCTCGGTGGCGGCGGTGGGAGCATCGGTGTGCTGCCCGAGAAGCTCCTGCCAAGCTGAAGCCGGGGCCTGCCAATGCGGGGCTGGCTTTTCAGACTCAGGGAGGGCACCTTGCCTGCGAGGGCAGAGCTCACAGGGCAGAGGCCCAGGGAGTGTAGAGTTCTTTCCGACTGTAGTCCCGTGTTTCAGAAGACACGATGTGAAGTCTAAGGGTAAGCCCTCGGTGCTCGCACCCCTGCGGAGGCTGCCAGGTCGGGGCCTGTGGGCCCTCGCAGGTCGGCAGCTCTGTCGTCCTGAGTTGCATTGCCTTTCCCAGATGCCGTGGACGTCTGGCCTGCTGCCCTCCTGGTTGTCTGCAGTCACCGTGGTCACGCGGCCCACATCCAACTTTGACCCATTGCCAGCAGCTCTTGGGTTGGAGTCCCACAGCAGAACGAGGAGCGTGGGGTTTAAAGCACAGTTGTGGGCAGGGTGGAGCGGTGGAACTCCCCTTTCTCTGTTGAGCAGCTGGACGAGACTGCCAAGGTTCGCCGACTTCACTAATGGGAAATGACACTGCTTGCTGTTTTGCCACCAGCGGTTGAGGGGTTAGTAGGTGTGAGTTCGTTTCCGGGGTCCTGCCGGGGGGCAACAGCTCTGACGCCCTCTGGGAACAGCTGGGGAGATGCTGCAGGGCCGTCCAGTGCCGACGGGCAGGTGTCTGCAGCCGGGCGCCATTTCCTGCTGCGTGTTCAGGCTGATTCTTGGTGTGAGACTGGACTGTGGCAGACGCTGTACCTTAGCACGGTCCAGACTGGCAGCCTCAGGGGAGGCGGGGTGGGTGGCACATGGGCGTCTGTCTGCTCAGCAGGTTCATTTTCTAGTTCTGCATGAGGAGCGGCCTGCGCTCTGCTCTGGGCTGCGGTGCCCTCCTGCTGTCGCCGTTTCTGCTGACTGTGAGCTTGGTCACTGGCTGCCTCTGGGTGACTCCTGATGGTCACGTTGTTCCCATATTGAGGCCTGAGAGCCACCTTGTAGAGCTCTGAGTAGAAAAATATACCTTTGTTCTTATTTTCTTAACTTAAAAAGGAGCAAAATTTTAAAATTATGTTAGCAAGATAAGCTCCACGTAGGAAAGTTGAAACAGAAGATCAGTAAGAAAAATGTCTGATCCCGACTGATGCGGGTGCTGGCCCGTCCCTCCGCTGTTGCCGTGGGGACAGGCACCGCACGCGCTCATCAGCACCGTGTGCTCAGTTTTCTGCGATCCCTGATGGAGGCGTGACTCGCGCCGTCGCCCTTTCCCCTGAGCACGGTGTGAAGATCAGCCTTGGTACGAGCTGGCTTCGGTGTCAGGCTGTGTCCTGTGGACAGGCCTTTGGGGTGGACTTCCTGGGTCGTGGGACAGCGTTGCTGGGCTCTGCACACCTGTTGCCAGGTGGCCCTGCCAGCAGATTGCCGGTGCACCCCACTGTGGTGCCAGCACTCGGCCTTGGCAGCACTGGGCAGCCTCAAGGACGCCCCACTCCAGATTGGGGTGAAATGCTGTGCTGTCCTCTGCAGATACTGAGGCGGCTCTCCCTGATGGTGAGGGTCACCCCACGCCTGCTGCAGGGCCCAGCACCTTTGAGACCTGGCTGGGCGCCTGCAGGTCCCGGAGCCTGTCCTCTGCCAGCATGCCTGCTCCCTGCAGGAGGACGTGGGGCTGGTTTCCCAGTAGCTGGTGGTCTTTTACTTTATTTTCTACTGCAGTTTATTATTTTTAAGCTTTGAAGTCTTAAGAGATTTAACAAGAAGTTGTTTATTTTTTCTACTTTTTATTGTTTAACACAAAATTGCTAATTCTTTTGGAATTTTTTTATTTGAGGAATTATCAAGTTTATTATTTTTTGGGGGGAGTTTTTGCTATAGGGCACGTGTGCTCGCTGGAGAGACAGAGACAGACAGAAAGTGAGAAAACACCTCCCAGAGATGGCTGATGGCCATGCCACAGTCCCTTCTCCTCTATTCTCCTCTTGGGATCTTGGGCATGCATTACACATGTACTCGGCGTGAGGTGGTTTTTTTTTTTTTTTTTTGAGAGAGATTTTTGCTATAGGGCATGTGTTATTGCCAGAGAGATAGACAGAAAGTGAGAGATCACCCCCTTGCGAGGATGGCCAGGCTGCAGTCCCTTCTCCACTCTCCTCCCGGGATCATGGGCACGCACGCACACGCACCTGGTGTGAGTTTAAGCCACTGGATCCAGGACTCGAACTGCAGTTGCCTACAAGGGAGTCCAGCGACACAGCCATTATGCTAACTGCTGGTCCCCCATGTTATTGTTTGTTTATTTTTTTAATTTGGTACTTGGCATGAATGCTCATAAGAGAGAGAAAGAGAGAAGGTAAATGGGACATGAACTGCGGTCGACCATGAGAGTCCAGTGATACAACCACTGTGTCATCTACTGGTCCCCGAATGGATGGTTCTTAAGCCCAAATTATGAGAGAAGGACAAGGGCTACTCTAGAGATCCTGGTAGAGAACATGGGGGGTACTCTAGAGATCTCTGTAGAGAGGAGGACGGGGGTACTCTAGAGATCTCTGTAGCGGGCGAATGGGGTGTACTCTGGAGATCTCTGTAGAGAGGAGGACGGGAGTACTCTAGAGATCTCTGAAGAGAGGAGGATGGGGTACTCTAGAGATCTCTGTAGAGAGGAGGACGGGGGGTACTCTGGAGATCTCTGTAGAGAGGAGACGGGGGTACTCTAGAGATCTCTGTAGAGAGGAGGACGGGGGGTACTCTGGAGATCTCTGTAGAGAGGAGACGGGGGTACTCTAGAGATCTCTGTAGAGAGGAGGACGGGGGGTACTCTGGAGATCTCTGTAGAGAGGAGACGGGGGTACTCTAGAGATCTCTGTAGAGAGGAGGACGGGGGGTACTCTGGAGATCTCTGTAGAGAGGAGACGGGGGTACTCTAGAGATCTCTGTAGAGAGGAGGACGGGGGGTACTCTGGAGATCTCTGTAGAGAGGAGACGGGGGTACTCTAGAGATCTCTGTAGAGAGGAGGACGGGGGGTACTCTGGAGATCTCTGTAGAGAGGAGACGGGGGTACTCTAGAGATCTCTGTAGAGAGGAGGACGGGGGGTACTCTGGAGATCTCTGTAGAGAGGAGACGGGGGTACTCTAGAGATCTCTGTAGAGAGGAGGACGGGGGGTACTCTGGAGATCTCTGTAGAGAGGAGACGGGGGTACTCTAGAGATCTCTGTAGAGAGGAGGACGGGGGGTACTCTGGAGATCTCTGTAGAGAGGAGACGGGGGTACTCTAGAGATCTCTGTAGAGAGGAGGACGGGGGGTACTCTGGAGATCTCTGTAGAGAGGAGACGGGGGTACTCTAGAGATCTCTGTAGAGAGGAGGACGGGGGGTACTCTGGAGATCTCTGTAGAGAGGAGACGGGGGTACTCTAGAGATCTCTGTAGAGAGGAGGACGGGGGGTACTCTGGAGATCTCTGTAGAGAGGAGACGGGGGTACTCTAGAGATCTCTGTAGAGAGGAGGACGGGGGGTACTCTGGAGATCTCTGTAGAGAGGAGACGGGGGTACTCTAGAGATCTCTGTAGAGAGGAGGACGGGGGGTACTCTGGAGATCTCTGTAGAGAGGAGACGGGGGTACTCTAGAGATCTCTGTAGAGAGGAGGACGGGGGGTACTCTGGAGATCTCTGTAGAGAGGAGACGGGGGTACTCTAGAGATCTCTGTAGAGAGGAGGACGGGGGGTACTCTGGAGATCTCTGTAGAGAGGAGACGGGGGTACTCTAGAGATCTCTGTAGAGAGGAGGACGGGGGGTACTCTGGAGATCTCTGTAGAGAGGAGACGGGGGTACTCTAGAGATCTCTGTAGAGAGGAGGACGGGGGGTACTCTGGAGATCTCTGTAGAGAGGAGACGGGGGTACTCTAGAGATCTCTGTAGAGAGGAGGACGGGGGGTACTCTGGAGATCTCTGTAGAGAGGAGACGGGGGTACTCTAGAGATCTCTGTAGAGAGGAGGACGGGGGGTACTCTGGAGATCTCTGTAGAGAGGAGACGGGGGTACTCTAGAGATCTCTGTAGAGAGGAGGACGGGGGGTACTCTGGAGATCTCTGTAGAGAGGAGACGGGGGTACTCTAGAGATCTCTGTAGAGAGGAGGACGGGGGGTACTCTGGAGATCTCTGTAGAGAGGAGACGGGGGTACTCTAGAGATCTCTGTAGAGAGGAGGACGGGGGGTACTCTGGAGATCTCTGTAGAGAGGAGACGGGGGTACTCTAGAGATCTCTGTAGAGAGGAGGACGGGGGGTACTCTGGAGATCTCTGTAGAGAGGAGACGGGGGTACTCTAGAGATCTCTGTAGAGAGGAGGACGGGGGGTACTCTGGAGATCTCTGTAGAGAGGAGACGGGGGTACTCTAGAGATCTCTGTAGAGAGGAGGACGGGGGGTACTCTGGAGATCTCTGTAGAGAGGAGACGGGGGTACTCTAGAGATCTCTGTAGAGAGGAGGACGGGGGGTACTCTGGAGATCTCTGTAGAGAGGAGACGGGGGTACTCTAGAGATCTCTGTAGAGCTGAGGAAGGGGGGTACTCTAGAGATCTCTGTAGAGAGGAGGACAGGGGTACTCTAGAGACCTCTGTAGAGAGGAGGACAGGGGTACTCTAGAGACCTCTGTAGAGAGGAGGACAGGGGTACTCTAGAGACCTCTGTAGAGAGGAGGACAGGGGTACTCTAGAGACCTCTGTAGAGAGGAGGACAGGGGTACTCTAGAGACCTCTGTAGAGAGGAGGACAGGGGTACTCTAGAGACCTCTGTAGAGAGGAGGACAGGGGTACTCTAGAGACCTCTGTAGAGAGGAGGACAGGGGTACTCTAGAGACCTCTGTAGAGAGGAGGACAGGGGTACTCTAGAGACCTCTGTAGAGAGGAGGACAGGGGTACTCTAGAGACCTCTGTAGAGAGGAGGACAGGGGTACTCTAGAGACCTCTGTAGAGAGGAGGACAGGGGTACTCTAGAGACCTCTGTAGAGAGGAGGACAGGGGTACTCTAGAGACCTCTGTAGAGAGGAGGACAGGGGTACTCTAGAGACCTCTGTAGAGAGGAGGACAGGGGTACTCTAGAGACCTCTGTAGAGAGGAGGACAGGGGTACTCTAGAGACCTCTGTAGAGAGGAGGACAGGGGTACTCTAGAGACCTCTGTAGAGAGGAGGACAGGGGTACTCTAGAGACCTCTGTAGAGAGGAGGACAGGGGTACTCTAGAGACCTCTGTAGAGAGGAGGACAGGGGTACTCTAGAGACCTCTGTAGAGAGGAGGACAGGGGTACTCTAGAGACCTCTGTAGAGAGGAGGACAGGGGTACTCTAGAGACCTCTGTAGAGAGGAGGACAGGGGTACTCTAGAGACCTCTGTAGAGAGGAGGACAGGGGTACTCTAGAGACCTCTGTAGAGAGGAGGACAGGGGTACTCTAGAGACCTCTGTAGAGAGGAGGACAGGGGTACTCTAGAGACCTCTGTAGAGAGGAGGACAGGGGTACTCTAGAGACCTCTGTAGAGAGGAGGACAGGGGTACTCTAGAGACCTCTGTAGAGAGGAGGACAGGGGTACTCTAGAGACCTCTGTAGAGAGGAGGACAGGGGTACTCTAGAGACCTCTGTAGAGAGGAGGACAGGGGTACTCTAGAGACCTCTGTAGAGAGGAGGACAGGGGTACTCTAGAGACCTCTGTAGAGAGGAGGACAGGGGTACTCTAGAGATCTCTGTAGAGAGGAGGACGGGGGTACCCTCGAGAACACCGTAGCGAGGAGCACTGGGGACTCTTGAGCACCCTGTCAAGAGCCGGGGTACACTCGCGACCTCTGTCGAGGGCCCCCGAGGCAGCTCTCCTCGTCGGCGTGCCCTGTGGTGTAATCTCTTGTGCCGAGGAAAGCAGCTTAGGACTCGGAAACCTTTCAGTGTGTGGAGCGTTCTACGTGAGAGATGCTTTGTCCATTTTCTCTGGTTTCATCTGTGAACACGTATTTCTTTTCTTGGTGAGAAAAATGTAAACAGCTTTCTGGCTTAAAGCTTTCAAGGAGCTTTCGATTTCTACCTCAGGTTGAAGCTCACTTCAGGGTTTCATTCCGGGTTGGACACTGGCCCATCTGCGGGGAGCAGGCCCAGGACCATGCTGGAGTCGTGTAGCAGCCCCACTCTGTCCAGGGTGGCCCTGGGGACCCTGAGTGTGCAGGCCACGTGCACGCACCTGTGATCCCCTGGCTGGAGTCTGGGGAGGGTGGCGGTGTGGCGAGGCCATGTCAGGGTACCTGTCTTTGTCATGGTACAGGCAGAAATGAACTTTGAAAAGTCAGCGATGGACTTTAGGAGGTTAAGGTGGCGGGATCCCACACTGCTGACTGTGGGCTTCGAGTCCTGGGCCTCATGGCTAGAAAACCATGCTGGGCGCGTGTGTGTGTGCGTGTCCAAAGTCCTGAGAGGAGAGCGAAGGGTTTGCAGTGTGGCCATCCCTCCAGGGCTGGCTCAATTCCTCTCCCTCATTTCTGTCTCTAGCAAGCACACATGCCCCAGAGCAAAAAATGAAGTAAAATAAAATGAGTGGACTTCAGTCGGACGCGTGTGCACAACGCAGCCCTCCTGAGTCCCCAAGCTCCCCCCACCCCGCTCAGACACGCGTGTGCATGCTTAGTGCTTCTGCGGCCCTAAGCGGCCTGCTTAGACATGCGTGGCTTAGACACGCGTGTGCAGGGTGCAGCACTCCTGCATCCCCGAGCCGCCCACTCAGACACGCGTGTGCAGGGCGCAGAGCTCCTGGGTCCCCGAGCCGCCTGCTCAGACACGTGTGTGCTCAGCCCAGCGCTCCTGCATCCCCGAGCCGCCCGCTCAGACACGCGTGTGCTTGGCCCAGCGCTCCTGCCTTCCTGAGCTGCCCTGTGGGAGGTGGGAGACGGGGCTGCTATGGTTGTGTGTATGGAGGGGAGGGTGGCTTATGGGCCCAGGGCCCTGGCGCAGCGGAGGTTCAGGCCTAGCAGGGGTGAGGACTCAGCAGGGACACAGTGAGGGTGTAGGCCAAGGTGTGTGTCGCGCGTGTTCGGGGTCAGTCTGGCTCAGCCGTGCTGCACCTCCGCACCGTGTTCCCGGGTGAGGCGCAGCACAGGCCCTGGGGCCCAGCCGTGAGGCTCAGGAGCTCTGCCGCTCGGCCCTGTCTGCACCAGCGGCTCCAGGACACCCGGACACGGTCATCAGCGCGGTCTTGTCCCCCAGGGAAGTCCCAGGGCCTGTTGGGCAGAGCCACTGGAGCAGGATCTCCCGGGAGGGCAGGACTTCCTGCTGTGCTTTCTAGCCAGTTGGGGTGTTGATGCGTGTACTGCGGTCCGTGGGGCGCAGGAGAACAAGCTCTGAACCCCGTATGTTCCCAGAGTTCCCTGGGGGACTCCGTGTGCCCTCTCGGCTGCGCAGGAGCTTCCTCCCTCAGGATGCCGCTGGGCCTGCTCCTGAGCGCGAGCTGACGCCATGCTGGGGTCCACAGAGGGGGTCCACCGAGGGGGGTCCACCGAGGGGGGTCCTGGCAGCTCACGTGTAGCTAGAGAGGGCTGCTGTCATCGCAGCCGGCTGTGCTCACTGCTCCTTCCCCCGGAGGGACACACAGCACTGGAGTGAGTGGGCATCTTCCTGCCTGAGTTCTGGTAGTGTGGATGGGGAGGGGCCTGGGGGAAGGGCCCTGGGGGATGAGGAGGGGCCTG